CTATTCCATTTGCAAAAGGTTAGGATCATCACTGAACGTCCTCAATAGAAACATAATCCGATCAACTTTGCAACATCATATGCAGTAGATGCCTCATATTGTCCATTCCTATACATACATGAATGCAATCCCTTTGATTGTCTCTTCATGAAAGGAGAAGGTTAACTTGATCCCTGCAAAAGAATTATATGATGTTCGGGTATAACCTCTGAAGCACGATCATGGTTATTGTTTTACAGGGATTTAATCTTGTCACTTATCAAAGGCTAAAGAAGTGTTTTTATTATATTCATTGAATATAAAAAGGTAATGCATTTCATTGCTCATAGTCTGAAAATATTCAATACTTATTCATCTAGACAAAATTTACAAACATCTAAAAAATAAAGAAATGATGAAAAACAAATGCAAACAATGCATATGCAAATGTGCCATAAGGGGTAGACATGGACCTCCCTTTTCAGTATTGCAAGTTCCTTCGGCTTTGCTTGCAGAGTACGATGCAATGTGTAATTAGGGGGCATGTATGTCACATTTGATTTTTTTATATACTAAGTCTGGAACTTGTATGATTTTAATTTCGTTTGTAATATATGAATGATTTTCTAAACTTGTATTTTATTTATAATTTTTTTTATGATTTTACACGTTTTAACAAAAAAATTAATTTTTCTTGGATTTTTACTGTGGGTCGCTCCGGTGGCCCAAATGTGACACCTCAGATCGGGTCGGTTCACCCGCATTGGTCTGAGGGTGTTACAAACACTTTATTAGTAGGGGTATTCAAAGGGTTAGTTCGGTTAACCGACCAAACCGTGTTACCCAATTTTCATTAACCGGATTTTTTTCTTTAACCCTTAATTGAACCCTTTTTTTATAAAAAAATTTAACAAAATCGAACTAAATTCGATTAATTGGTCATTTAACTGAATTAACCGAAATTTACAAATAATATATATTTAATATTTAATATTTTTTGTTTATTCAGTCGGTTAATTTGGTTAAAATCGAAGTTTGAATACCCTAAAGTTAAATAATATATATATATTTACTAAATATTTAATAATATTGGTTAATTATGCTAATGAATCTAATTCAAACCGAATTAACCGAAATTGAAGTTTGAAAAATACCATTAACCGTTAGCCGATCGAACCCAAAATTAACTGACTGAAATTTTGATTCAGTCGATTAATTTGATTTTAACCGAATTATGACCACCCCTATTTATTAGTATATACATGATCTGTAAAATCCATTAAATAACTTTAGTGATTATAAGAAGTGTTAGTATTTTTAAAGATTTTGAATTCGAACAATTGCTTCTATGTAGTGGATGTGCGTTGTAAATAGTTAAAAATATTTTGAATAAATAGTTAAGAAATATTTTGAATAAATAGTATCTCACAATCACACCATATTATTTTAAAAATATATATACACGATTTGTAAATAAAACACACTATTATTGACTAAATTATTAAAATATTGATCATAAAAAATAAAAAATTATGTTTAATACACTTGATTTTATACCAACATAAATAAATTATTTATTTTGAAACAAACATAAATAAATTATTGTGTGTATATATTTCTAACTCGAGATAAAGGAGATAATAATTGAAGGAAAGCGACAGCAAGGTTTGTCAACATGACTGATTCAGAATCATTTTCTATGTTCATATGAATGGCAGCTTAAATTGGTAAGTCTAACGTGCAGCAGCCAATGTACGGTTAAAGAAAAATTAGTAAAAAAATTATAGAAAATGTTATTATTAAACACTTTATCGGGTTTGATAATATATTTAATAGAAAAAAATAATATTTTATATAGTATTTTATTAGATATATTATTAAACTTAATAAAACGTTCAATAATATTTTAAGTAAAAATAATATTATTTTAGATAAATTTTTATCGATTTTATTAAAAAATAATAATAAAATAAATAACATATTTTTTAATCGTATATTAAATTTGGCGTTCAATAAAACTTCCTAACATAATAAGATGGAGATGAAGAAAGGAATGAAGATTCTTCTTCGCGCAATAAAGGAAAGCGAAATGATTATGAATTATGATAACATGTAGCCAATCAACAATTAATGATCTCTAAGCCATTATCGACCCTAATAATTGGGCTCCTCTTTTTGGTCTCGCATATTTGACAAGACAAATAACCTTCAAAATGGGGTAATATTATTTTCAATAAAGATAAACATAAAAATTTTAATTAAATAATTTAATATTATGCAATTGTACATTTCCAATTAATGGGATACATTAATTATGAATGTGAAAATGAGAAAGTTTAGCTTGTGCTGTCCATGAAATATGAATATAGACCTTTTTGTGTATATTAATTTCTTCGGGCCATTAAAAAGTGAGTTGAAAATTTGGGTTGAAAGTGGGAGAGTATAAAGATAGATTGTCTAATTTAAGACTATGGAAAGACATGATTAAAAATATTATAAAAATTATAATATTTTAGATTAGACACAACTTAAAATATTAATTTTTTCTTGATATTTTTCGATTAAAAACATTTTTTTATAATCGAAAATGTATAACATTTTCGGTTCAAATGAAAATATTAAAAAGTTTACATTTTAAATTATACTCAACCTAAAATATTATGATTTGAATAACATTTTCAGTTATATCTATCTATTATCGTTTCTTAATTTTAAATTAGACTCAAAACTACTAATTGAAAGTAAACGGGAATAATTAGAAAATAGTTAAAATAAAATTGAAAAGCAAACATCAATCAAATCGTGGATAGCTGTTTTTCGGTGCACAGATTGTGAGGATCAATGTTTGACATATATTTTTACCATTTCAAGCACAGCATCCCCAACCCTTTCCCGTCCCTTACACGAACTCCTTTTTAAGGATAAACCATAAATTTCATCCCTCATAACTTCTCTTTCTCTTATTTTGATCCACTAAAATTTCAAAAATCTTAATTTTGGTCACCCTGCCGTGCCAGTAAATAGTTAGTAAAATTCACAGGATAATAACACCAAAACGACATCATTTTAAAAAAGTCACGATTATATCACAACGTTGGTATTTTGAATCCTTATAGAATTCATTTTTTTTAATTTTTTCCTATCAATTTTTCTCTTTATGTAGGGCTATAAACGAGTCAAGTTGACTCAAAAACTCTAAAATAAAGCTCGACCCGGCTTGAAAATTCACGAGCCTAAAATTTTTAAGCTCTACTCGAACTCAAAATCATGAATTGAAGCTCGAAAAAGCTCAAAATAAAAAAAAATCTTGAACTTAACTCGGTTTAAGCTCAAACTCGAACCTAAAACTTAAATACATGAAAATTTACATTTAAAAAATAAACACATAAATGTTAGTTTTATTAATAATTTAGTTTTTTTAATAAAATTTTAATATATAATTTTTTCAATTTGCTTGTGAGTTTTTCGAGTTATCATGTAGCTCGTTTCGACTTATTAAGAACTAGAGTCCATTTGAGTCGTGTATTTATCGAGCGTTAACCTAATCTATTTCGAATAGCTTATGATTTGTCTAGTCTCATTTATAGCTCTATATATTCCCATATTCAAGTCATCGTTCGTAGTAATTTATCACCATCAATTGTCATCGATAACGGTTGATATGCCATATAAATATCCTCCAAACTCGTTTTGCATTCTTAAACATGAATCCAATGTTTGTTTAACCAAAATTACATAAACTCTACGAATCTAATGTTAAATGCTTTGATTTTTATTCTTTTAGTTTGTCATCTACGGTTGAATAGAACCTAAACAAATATATGTTACTTCCGCTCAAATAGGGATTTCGAATGTGAGAGATATATCATAGTCAAAGGAGGAGATTTAGTACAACTTCATAATATTTGATATTACAAAGCCTGATAAGGGTTGGTTTGTTTGGTGATGATAATGGTGATAAAAGAAATTAATTCAATCTTCAAAATCGAGTGATAAAATTAATTTTCTTTTAAAATTTAGTGATTCAGGTAGGAGTGTGAAGAAAGATAAGTGTTGATTTGTATAATTTACCCTTTTTATTTTTATTTTATTAAGATAAGGTGATTACACATTAGTATATATTCTAAATACTCTCAATCATTTCACAATGAACACTCAATTACCCTTACTACAGTCGTTGATGCTCTAACCCAAAAACTCTAGGAATAACAAAATAACATACATTCCTCTAGGTAGCGAAGTAATTTGGTTCTTAGAGATTACCCCTTTTATAATTACTTAAATTCTGACCTTAAGTTTTGGAGGTAATATATAACACATACATATTTTTGCACCCAATGGATAAGCCTTTTTCTGGATCCGCATGCATTCGTCCCTTGCTTTGCACCGAATTGCTCTCTGCCATCTATTACTCAAATGTTTTTCTTTCCCATTCTAATAGTAAAACTTGTGTGTTGTATGCAGACAGTGTTTCGGCTTAACCTCATATCATTAATAATGAATTTTGTTAATGACAATAAATGGTTTTCATTAGCCGTTGACGGTTCATCCTCCTAATCTGAGCGGAAAATCATGACCGGTAAAAGAACAATCATTGATCTGTATTTTTCGGTGTGAGAGAGGGGTCATAAAGTAGAGGAGATAAGCTAAGGTGTGGGTATTCCAGGATTCAATCCTCTTATCAGTTTTCGTTGAAGGTATTCAATAGATATAATACTATTATAGCTATTTGTAAATCAACAAACTAGATAAATTTAGTACTCTTCAAATCTTGAATTTCGAAAGGTTAAATTATGTGTGTCTGTTGATTTTCTATCTACAAGTCTTGCCAATATGTTATAGTCCATCGAAAGATAAATAGTGCTCTCTTTCCCTAAAATTAAAAATCCTCTAATAACTTTGGTGAATGAAGAAATTTATCCAAAACTTTTAACTAATAAGTTTAAGCAAAACCAAAGTCCACATAACTTGAAGAAGGGACTTAAAGCATTAATTCTTGACTGACTTATATATATATATATGTTGGTTGATCTGTACGTGCATGGCTCAACAGTTCCAGCCAGCTTCCCATTTCCGGTTACCTAGGTAGCTAGCTAGATTAAGCGTTGGGCCTCAAAAGAGAGAGTGAGAGGGGGGGGGGGAACTAAGGAAATAAAGATATGATACTAAAAGACAACCATTGTTGCTCTTCATTATGGTTCACCGGTCTACCTCTCTGAAGCACTTACAAGGCTTCGCATTACATCGACCTGAGCTCGGAGCGATACGATATAGTCTAGACTTTCCTCGATCAGCGACACTTCATTCATTAATTCTCCACCAGGGCTTAAACCTTTCAAAATCCTTTTTCTTTCCCTAACCAACCCTTTTGATCTTCTTCTTCTTCTTCTTCTGCAACTCCTTTTAATTATCTTCTTGCTTCTGATCCTCTTGCTGTACTCCATAAATGCTCCTTTCGAAACTAGATGTTTTTCATGTTTTGAATAAGCATTGGCAATGAGGGATCGACTCCAACGAGTCGTACCGTTTCTTGCAGAAGCCATGGCTATATCTGCAGACAACTTTATAGCCTTTTTCCTTTCCAAGATGCCCATTTCCTTCTTCGAAAAGCTGCATCTTTGGAGACCCATTATCCAGTTCTTGAGAAACTCTCGCTTCAGTGAATTACAAGGTCGCATCCTACAGCAAAAAGAAGAGAAAAAGAAAAAAACCATGAGCCATATGCAATTTACTTTCTCAGTTTCTCCTATAATGCTCGTTACTATTGAAGAAGAACGTACCTTTTTCTTATATTATTCAAGCAAAAGAATGAGAAAAAAACCTTTTGCAGAAGTTCATCAGATCCAAGAAAGTGTATCTAAGATTGAGGTTCAGAAACACGCACAGATATGTGGGCGTGGAGATTTATAGAGAGAGAGAGAAAGGAAGGGGAAAGAGAAGAAAGGGCATTTATTTGTTCCAAGGAAAGAAGTGGGGGGACTAAGAGAGAAAGACAGAGGCACAGCACATGCAAGCACATGGAACGCAAGGCCCACCGCAAAAAACCCTAAGGGATATATTAAGAAATATTATTAATATCATACTATTAATATAATATAATGTAAAGCCAAACCTAACTTTTAAAACTTCTTATGAATACAAACAAAACTTTTAAAATGGATACATTTACCAGCTAATTGTAGTTTATTAATTGTGAGGAGGGAATGACATTCATGCTACGTTTGACCACCTAAGTATTGTAGTACAAGAAAAATCATAATTACTATATGAGTTTTCTTGCTGGTAGAAGCACTACAGATAACATATTGGTGGTGCAGGAAGCGGTTCATACCATCATCCAACTCAAAGGAAGGAAAAGTGCATCAATCATGAAAATAGACCTTCAGAAAGCTTAGGATAAAGTTAATTGAGACTTCCTACATAAAACACTACAGGATTTCAATCTTCCCGAAGAAACAATCTTCATCATCATGTTTTGTGTCAGATCCAGTAGTATTGATCCGTTATGGAATGGAGAAATGACTGAAAGCTTCAACCCAGAACAAGGCCTTAGACAGGGAGACCCTTTATCCCCATATCTCTTTATTCTTGTTATGGAACGACTGTCACACATGATTTTAGAAAAAGTGGACAAGGGAAAATGGAAAGCTTTTAAAATTACGAGAAATGGAACTAACATAAGCCATCTTTTCTTTGCAGATGATCTTCTACTATTTTTTGAGGCCAAGGCAGACCAAGTGATCGAGGTTTGAAAATGCATGACAGAATTCATCAATGCCTCGGGTTTAGAAATGAACCTCCAGAAATCGAAAATTTTCATATCGCCAAATATGAACATCGAGGCGGCAGATTACTTGAGTCAACTTAGCGGGGTTCGCCAGACAAATAACTTGGGAACTTATTTAGGAGTCCCTATCATTCAAAAAAGAGTAAATACGGAAACATACGCACCAATGCTTGAAAAGGTTATGAAGAAGCTGACGGGTTGGAAGGGGAAAATACTTTCTTTGGCAGGAAGAAAAACACTCATCCAAGCAGTTTCGGCGGCAATTTCGATCAACATTATGCAGACAGCCTTATTACCAAAGGGGACAAATAACAAATTAGATAGCCTCAACCGGAATTTTCTGTGGGGAGGTGGGACATAATATTCACATAACCATCTGGTAGGCTGGGATATTGTTTGCAAGCCGAAGGATTCCAGAGGACTCGGATTACGTAAAGCACGTGACACGAACCTCGCTCTCATGGCAAAAAATGTTTAGAAAACAAGACGCGATTTGGTGTAAAGTGTTTAAAGAGAAATACTTGAAACAAAATAACTTCATGAAAGTTGGAAACAATGCCAAGAGTTCAAATACTTGGAGAGGCATTCTGAAGACAGGAGAAATAGTGGAGAAAGGATGCAAACATCAGATTTGATAAGGAGATCAAACTAGACTGTGGCATGATTGGTGGGTAGGAATATCAGCTCTCATTAAAGACTATCCAGAGAGAGAAAACGAGGAAAATGTTAATGTGGCTCAAATCATAACAGAAGATAAAACGTGGGATATACAAGAATTACAGAAGGTAATGTCGAGAGAAACTATCGACCAAATCAAGAGTATACCGATTCAAATGACAATAAATAGGGGTGATCAAGACAAAATTAGTTGGGGATTCTCAAAGGATGGTAGTTTTACAATGAAACCTGCTTTCAAAGATATTATAAATAGTATACCAGGGGAACAACAGAACCAAAAACTCGACTGGATCTGGAAGACAGAGACCACAGAACGAAATCGAGTATTCATTTGGCTTTGCTATCTGAACAGGCTGAATACAAATGATATAAGAATGAAGAAGAATATGACAGAGAACTTAGACTGCATAAGTTGCCAAGGCGAGATGGAATCAATATAACATGTATTAAGGAGATGCATTACGGTAAAAGCAGTATGGGATGAAATTCGAGCAAATCAATATGATGATCAATTCGATAACAGAGAGTTTAAAGACTGGCTCCAAAACAATTGTAGATCCAGAAAGACGAGACAACATGACATTTCATGGGGATCTTTATTTTCAACAACACTTTGGGGATTATAGAAAGACAGGAATGAATTAGTCTTCAACAAAAACAACAAGAACCCAGACCAAATTATTCATTACAACATAAACCTCACAAGGAATATCAAAGCAGCAAAAAAGAACTCACGGAGAGAATCACTAAGGAGCCACGATGGGTCAAATGGAGGAGGCTGCCTCGGGATTGCTGGATTTTAAACTCGGATGGAGCCTGCAAAACAAACACCGGACAAGCGACAGTAGGAGGATTGATTAGAGATGAGATCGAAAATTGGATAAAAGGGTTTATGATAAACATAGGGAGAACTACCAGCGTAATGGCAGAACTGTGGGGATACGACAGGGACTCATGCTCGCCAAAGAATCAGGAGTTAATAAACTCATTGTGGAAACTGACGCAAAATAGATAATCGAAGCCCTTAATAAAGAGAGTGTGGATGATATTCAAAAGGAAGTGATTTACAGAGAATGTGAAGAGATAAGAAAAGAGGGTTGGATACAGGATATTAGACATATATGTAGAGAAGAGAACCGATGTGCTGATCGTCTCGCTAATCTAGCATTCGAGAAAGAGGGGGAGTTCACATTCTGGAAAACCCGCCAGAAGAAATAAGAAAGTTGTTAGAAACCAAATTATTCATTACAGCATAAACCTCGCAAGGAATATCAAAGCAGCAAAAAAGAACTCACGGAGAGAATCACTAAGGAGCCACGATGGGTCAAATGGAGGAGGCCGCCTCGGGATTGCTGGATTTTAAACTCGGATGGAGCCTGCAAAACAAACACCGGACAAGCGACAGTAGGAGGATTGATTAGAGATGAGATCAAAAATTGGATAAAAGGGTTTATGATAAACATAGGGAGAACTACCAGCGTAATGGCAGAACTGTGGGGGATACGACAGGGATCATGCTCGCCAAAGAATCAGGAGTTAATAAACTCATTGTGGAAACTGCAAAATGGGTAATCGAAGCCCTTAATAAAGAGAGGGTGGATGATATTCAAAAGTAAGTGATTTGCAGAGAATGTGAAGAGATAAGAAAAGAGGGTTGGATATAGGATATTAGACATATATGTAGAGAGGAGAACCGATGTGCTGATCGTCTCGCTAATCTAGCATTCGAGAAAGAGGGGGAGTTCACATTCTGGAAAATCCGCCAGAAGAAATAAGAAAGTTGTTAGAAATGGATTTAGAAGGAGAATGTATTAAAAGATGGCAGGCTATTATCCATAGCCACTTCATTTGTACCAAAAAAAAAAAAGAATTACTTCAAATTTAGACTTGAAAGAAATAATAATTATTCAAAAAATAATATATATTCATTATCTTAGTTTACTTAATTATGCGACTGGCTAAAATTATTAAATAAAATTAATTTATTATTAATTCATGTAAAAATATATCAAAAATAATACTTCTGCGGTGAGCATTCGATTGAGTCGAGTAAAAAATTTTCGTATTATTCAAGTTGATGAGTTGTATTTTGTGACTCAAACTTAACTTGAAATTTTTTCAAGTCGAGTCAAGCTTAAGAAATTTGAGTCGAGTTATTCGATTTCTATACAAATTTTATTATAATTATTTATAGTATTTTGGTAAGGATTGATTCTAATTTTTCGATTTTCTCTAAACATATATATATATATATATATCTTTATATTTTTTCACATTATAATGTTATTTAATATATCAAATACAATATAAAATTATAAAATATGTTTACAATATTATATTTTAAAGAATATATTTTGAGGGTAAAGTATTGATGAGAGTATAAAAGAGTCAAGGAATTGATGGGAAGAAAGAATTTGCAAACAATTGCAGTCAAAAGACTAAATTGAGTAAAATATAAAATTAAGGGACTAAATAATAAATAGACTATAATTTTAGTTAAAAAAAAATAGGAATTGAAGTTTTATAAGTGTTCTATAATGGTATAGGAGCATGTGTATCAAATTTGGTAAAAAAAAAAGGACTTAAAATGAAGGATGAATTGAAGAAATAAGGAAACCATGAAGAGTTAAGGGACTAAATTGAAAAATAAAAAATGTTATCAAAAAGAGGAATTGAAAGGACATAGGTATTCTACGATGGTGTAGGAGCACGTTATTTAAATTTGATAAAAATAGACTTAAATGAAGGATGAATTGAAAGAATAATGAATCGTTGACTAAATTGCAAAATTGCCGAAATAGTCAACCAAATTTTATATTTTTGGAGTAACTTGAAGTTTCAAAATCTTGAGTCAAACTCAAAATCGAATCGCAAATTCGAATTGACTCGAATAATTAGAATAACTCGAGTCAAATAACTCAAAATTAAATAAATATATTTTTTTAAGTCAATATATTTTTGATTACCTTACTTTTGCCCAATATAGCACTAAGGGTGCGTTTGGTTCACGGAATGTAAGATTACCAGTGAGAATAAAAGATTACCAAGGAATAGGATTACTAGGAATGTTACATTACTGTGTTTGGTTGGTTTGGCATGAATGTAAGATTACATAGTTTGGTTGAAGGAATAAAAGATTACTGGAATGCATATTTTACCAAATTGTCCTTGTTCTATATTCGTTTATTTAACAAGTGAAATTCTAAATATTTAAATAAAAATT